TAAATCTTCAAAGTGAGGGAGAGTCAGGTAAAACACTCCTTCTGGGCCGGAGACTGAGGTTAATCTGGGAGGTCAGTGGAGGAATGGAGGTGTGGCCTCAAGATTTACCTCAGTCTCCAGGGCAAAAGGGCTGTGTTAATACCCATGTGTGACTCCTCCCATGCCTCACTTCGGAAACTACGGTAGTTTCCAAAAGGACTACTCTTGCAGCAGTTCCCACAAATAAAACTAATTCAGCATACTTTGTAAGAATATAAGATTTAGTCATTCTGAGAGTTTTGTGATGCTTGGTACTTTCAGTTTTAGATGATTGATCATTTTAACTACTTTGCTTCTTCCTATTCTTCCCCATTTTTACTTTTTCCCATTGATGGCTACAGCAAGAGTTCCCAAAGGTTAACTCTCAGAACTGGAGATAGCCCCAAAGTAACAGAATGTAATCTATCTTTATTTTAGTTATCAAATATCACAAACCAAGACTGGAGCACAACACAAATTATTTAAGAAATAGTGATGTCACAGCAACCCCATGTTAATAAGAAAACAAAAACATGTATGGTAACATCATGGTGCAAATTTCTTCTTATATACTGTATTTCCCTCCTAATATTGGACAAACATATGTACAATTTGGTATCTATTTCATTTATTATGTTGCATTTTCATCACTTGCCTTCCACTGTAGTGGCCCACGGTTATACAAGAAAAAAATACATTGATATGAATACATACATAACGAAAGAAAAAAAAACCAATCTAACTTATGTTGGTACATTCAACTTTATTACAGGTAGTCCTTGACTTACGATTTAATTAGTGACCATTCAAAGTTACAACGGCACTGAAAAATGTAACCTTATTCACAATTATGATCTTTGCAGCATCCCCATAATCATGTGATTCAAATTCAGATGCTTGGCAACTGAGTCATATTTATGACAGTTGCAGTGTCCCAGGGTCATGTGAACACCTTTTGGAACCTTCTGACAAGCCAAGTAATGGGGAAGCCAGATTCACTAAACAACTGGGTTACTAATTTACCTACTGCAGAGATTCACTTAACAACTATTGGACCTGGGTACTTGAGAGACCGCCTGCTGCCAATTACCTCCACTAGACCGATTAGATACCACAGATTAGACCTCCTCCGAATTCCATCCGCCGGCCAGTGTTGACTGGCGACTACCTGGAAGAGAGCCTTCTCTGTGGCTGCTCCGACCCTCTGGAACGAACTCCCCGTGGAGATTCGAACCCTCACC